TATATCATAAGTTTGATATTATCCTTCATGTTTTTTTTATTTTAATAAATTTTTATATGATAAAAAATGAACATATTTTAAAATTTATAATGATATATAATATCAACCTAAAGAAAAAATATATTTTCTATATTTTTTCCCGTTTCTAACAAACACACTTTATTTTTATTTAATATTTATCATATACTAATAAAATAACATTTTGACTTCAAAATACAAAATAATTGAAAATCACCAAACTTGAAAAAAAACAACACAAATACACACACATAATATTTTTAACTTATTTCTTATTAAATCTTTTTAAACATTGAAAATTTTATATTTTTCAATTGAGTTATGCAGTTTAATTTTTTTATGTATTAAAAAATATAATATTTTATAATTAACACAAAATGATATTGAATAATAAAAGTAGTTTATTAATTTACAGTAGTTTTATTATAATTTAAATTAATTACAAAATCGAACTTTTTTCTTGATATTTCAATTTTATTGACGTAAATTTTATTTATTATTCAAGTACAATTTCTTGTTGCGAAAAATTAAATTATCATCATATTTTTTATAATTTTACAGATTATTTTGCTACTGAAATCCTTTTTTTTTTCTAGAAACAAATTTTTAGCATCATTTTACTTTTAGTTTTATAGATTTATATATTTATTTTAATAAATTATTTTATTAAAATTTGTAATTTTTTATAAACTAATATGAATATAAATTTAGAAAAGATATTTAATTTAATATTTATAAATTAAATGAGAGTAAAAAATTTGAAGAATGATTATAATAAATAAGATAATATAAATATATTATAATTATAGAAATATAAAAATTATCATTATAAAATATTATAATTATGGTAGTTTTTTACAAATTTAATTTTGAAAAATGTTTATTTATTTGGTTAAAATAATTTATGCAACACTTTTTATGTGTAATGAGTTAAGAAAATAAAATTAAATAATAATATAATTGTAGGTGTTTAGGCTTATGGGTCCGGGTCAACTCTTTTTTCTTATCCGATTTTCTAACTCTAAAATTTCAATTCACTGTATTAGTAATAAATATGTATTAAACGTAACCAATTTATCATAATATTTCAAACTTGTATGTATAAATTTCAAATTAATGTCAATCTAAGTATAGTTTTACTGGTGATTATTATACTTAGGCTTAATATAATCCTCTTTAGCCTTAAAGCTCACGTAATATTGACCGACGATGAATTCATCTTACTCACCGACCAGTTGTTCCATATCGATGAAACCGTCTAGTCTTAAACTGATCAAATGGTTATAAGATACAATAAATGTTAATATTTGAAAAAAAATTTAATGTAAATTCAAAAGTAATTTATAACAAAAGAAAATCACAAACCTTCCTTATATAAAGATAAATTAAGAAAATTACAAAAATAAAGTTTTAAATGTATAATTTTTTTAAATGTCTAATAACAAAAAAAAAATTAAACTTTCAAATTTTTGAAAATTTAAACTTAATTAAACGTGGTTTAATTTCTTTTTAAAATTATTTTTAAAAAATAAAATAGCGATGAAATCATTAAAAATAAAAACAAAGACTTATGTGTGGTGTGAGTGTAATAATGTGAATTTATATATGTTCAAATTAAAAAAAAAAAATGAGCAAGCGATAATAATGATTAAAAAGAAATCAGGAATAAGAAAAAATTGTATATATATATACCTTTTGAAAATCAGTGAAAAGGTTTAAAACAAAAAGAGTTGATGAAGGAATTAAGTTAAAATAGGTGGTTTGCACAAGAGTGTTGGTCCAGTTGTGAAAGGCAGACAGGTTGAAATTGACGATCGACAACCCCACATACAGCATCAGTTGTGGCTTTAGCTCTGAAGCAACAGCAGCAGCTAGGGTGTAGCTAGGTGGTAGCCCTTCCCCCCTCAAGACCTGCATGCATTAAATGCTGCATTTTGCTTTCCTCCATCACTCAAACACCACTCATGTGCTGCACCTGGAAATGGAACCTGTGACCAACCTCACTCACTCCTACACTTCTTCTAACCAAGTTTTGACTTCTCACTCACACCACCACCAAACCCCACACATATTACCACCAACTCTCATCCTTCGTACAACACATATATACACTATTATTGCAAACCGCCAACAAAATACAAACTCACCGTACACTGTCATCAAAAACTTTTCAAACTCCTTCCTCCTTTTATTCATTATAAACAAACAAAGTCCAACCCAAGTTTCTACACAAAATGATTCCCTTCGTAAACTCACAATATAAAATTCTACTAAATAGTAAAACAAATCACAAACCATCACCCTTGTCTTCGCATTTTCAACGCTTTCCCATTCATTCCATAACCACTACTGTTTCCGACCGACCTGCACCTCAGCGTTCGCCGTTTCGACCACGCTACCTTCTTCCCATGCTATTTCCAGAACGACTCTCGAAAAATTAAAATATATGATGCACGCCGTTTCATACCCCGCCTCGCACGTCGTCGTTTTTTATTCTTTTAATTCTAACGCGGTTAGTAACACCAGGTGTAGATTGTTGACGCACGAGGGAACTTGAAAATTGAAATTGAGGATCAAAAATCGAATCAATGTCTACTTCATGGTGGTAATAATAGTAATTAATACATTCAAATATACTAACACTATGTACTCGGGTGAAGGGAGAATTGCAGTGGTAAATTAGAGGGGTCGATTGCGGTGTAGTGCTATTTAGATTTTTGAAATTAAAATATTAGAAACGCTGAGAAACGGAAACGTGACGTCTTCTGATGTGAGGGGAAACAATGGAGATCAGGCCACCGAGTGGGGGCCGCATCTTCGACCTGTAAACCATTTCGTCGTACGGTCTTCTGTAGAACTTCACATAGGGCAAGAACGATTCTCGGCACCTCTCTCCCTTCACGGTCGCGTGGCTCTCTCGACGGAAAAACGTTGCCGGCGACTGCAGGAACGAGGTCCTCGGCGGGGCCGTCACTCGCTGCGGCAGCGGGGTGGAGGGGAAGAGGCCCTTCCTGGAAGCCGGGGGGCCGCGGGGCGTCCTCGCGACGGGCGAGGCGAACGAGAGCGAGCGCGCGTTTAGCGGCGAGATCAGCGCGGGAGAGGGACTCGTGGGTCCCACTTTCGATGCTGACGTGTCGGCCAGGCTCAGGTACCAGGGCTTCAAGGAGTCCAGGTGGTGAGAGACGGTGAATGAGAAGCGGGAAGAGGAGCACGAGCCTATCTTCGCCGTTGATTTCACGCTCGAGGCATCGAATCGGAGGGACGAGGCTCGCGGGTACGCCGCGAAGTCGTTGAAGTCGAACGATTCTTCGAAATCCAACGATGATACCAACGTGGTCCACGATGATAGCTCCACGAACGGCCTAACACCCTGCAGTCCAGTGCACCCAACATGAGAACAACACACAGGATAATTGCTATTCTGTAATTAATTTATTGCAATTGATTTGAACTAAATTACATTGATAGGGTACAAAACTAGAAATAAGTGGCATACGTCTTTTTCAATCCTAGCAAAAAGCACGTATAGTGTTCCCTCGTACCCTATGAATCTAACGGAGAGAAGTAAAATAGGTTTGGTTTTCAATTTCAATACGATATGACACGTAGCCGAGCAATATGGTGTTGTGCTGTATTGTTGCGTTTGAATTTATGATAATGAATAGTAACGGGAAATACGGTACTTTTTGTGCATGGGGTACATTTTTCATTTAGTTAAGGAGTGGGTTTGGATATGGTATGGCATGGGGTAGTGGGTGGACCACCAAAAAATCAGGGGAAATGGTCCATCAATTGGTGGTGGTCAAAGAAAGTAGAACATGCATGATCTGAAGGTATGATGATGCCAGAAAGGGTGCATTACATACCCAACCAACACACATCAGAAGGAGACTAGACTAAAATGTGGTGGAACAGTGTTTGAGTTTAACTGGCACTTGGTAAACAGTACATGGTAGACTACCAAAACTAGATACGTAAGGATTTTGAATTGTGGTTACCTTCCACAAGTAAGCGAAAAGTGAGGGAGGGTCTATCACAAAGGCTTTGCATAGTCTTCCTGGGTAGTACTCCGCCACAATTTTCAGTGCTGGTAGCAATTGGTTCATGAAAGCAGATGCTGATCTGTAAAGGCCTGCAACAACCAAATAAACAACCCCTTGTTAATTACATGTTTCCCAGATGTGTTGAATCTTGAGATTAGCTCACGGTTTAGTTGCTTAAAAAATGTGATCATAGTTTATTATAAAATTGTTGGGGGTGAGAAAAAAGGTAAAGGGGTACTGGCAAAAGCTAAAAAGGAGAATCATGGGTTGTTCCTCTGATGCCTTGTGCTACTGCAATAGCATAATTTAAGGAAGCATTAAAGATTGAAATGGACCAATTCGGGTAGAGAATGTCAATAATGACTCCAATTCCCAATAATACCCTTTCTAACATGGCTACATTGTTAGCCTAGAGTCTGAGACACCCCAGGGGCACTCCGGACACTTTCTGTGTGCCCCTCAGGCCCTGCCGGTGATCCCAACAGAGTTCCATATCATCTCTGCCCTCTCATTTATTGTTCTGATCCCTCAATCTTTTCTGTTTACTTCTTTTGTTTGTTTATCAATAATTGCTTCAAAATGGCATTATGGAAATTTGGCTAATGCAACCATCCGCACTTACTTGCGTCAAAAAGCATCACAAATTGCTCTACGTTTTTTGGCATCGTCGAAATAGCCACCTCCATTGTAAAGGCCAGCAAACGAGTAAACCTTCAGGGATTAAAAGAAAAAAAATTAATAAATTAATAAATTACAATAGCATCACTTTATTTAGTTGCTTCTGCTATAATAATTAATACCACTGATGAAATTGTGAAAGCGTTAACAAACTCTTGTCTCGTGTCTGGTAACTTACATTTTCTGGGAATGCAACTTTTGATAGTCTTGCTTCAAACGAAAAATCTGTCACCACCCCAATTCAAATCACGAGTTTTATTTCAAGTTACCAAATTAAATAATACTATAAAAAATAAGGCAGAAACCCAAAGTCCGAAATGAAGAAAAGGTTAACGAAATTACCATGACAGGTCTGGATTCGTCGTCATGACCAGCCACATAGGCCAACCCATCAGCCAGTTCTGCTGAGAAATCATCCGCTATCAAGTGATCTGTTTTAAAAAAATCCCATCAGTTAAAAACGGTATTTACATTCAAAGTTTCAACAAAAATAAATAAGAAAACCAAAAATTTAATAAAATACAAGTACTGCTAATAATATTTTTTTGTGTGTCGTTTGGGGGTATACGGAGAAGGAAAGAAAAGGAGAGTGACCTAATGATTACTAGAGTGGGGTGCGTTTCACTTTAACATTTGTTTGGTTCAATGGAAGGGAAAAGCAAGATTCTTTGGCGAGAGAAAACAAAAAGAGAAGTCGGCTTGTTTTCACAACGGGCAAAAGCTTTTGCAAGAAAAAGGAATTAAGGAGATGAAGTGGGGAAGGAGAAAGAAGAAAGAAGAAAGAAGAAAGAAGAAAGAACTTGTGGAATATACCAGTGATTACACTCTCTCTCCAGGCAAGACAGGCCTTGAGTTGCTTCGAAGCTTTTTTCACACTATCCCCTTTTGCTTTCAAGAACCGTTTCACACAAGCGTAGTTGCAAAACTTCTCCTACACAATAACAACAGCAAGAACAAAATAACTACAATTTAAGTCATCCTCAAATCACGTCAAGCAACAAAACCTATGAGTGAGTACTGAAAAAGTAGAGAGAAGAGATAAACCTGCTTAACAGTGAGAGGGGTTTGTTTTCTGAGAAGCTCAAGAACAGCTTCGACTTTGGCTGTCTCCTTGTGATCTCCGAGCTCTGTTTTCTTCCCCATTTCGAGAAACACTAACTTAGAAACGTGAGGAGTTTGCAATAATTACCAAATCTCCAAGAAGGTAGCAAGCTAGAGAGTAGAGAACAGAACGACTATTATTCCAAACTTCTGCTTCACGCAACCATTAATATAAAGCAAAGGGCAGGGTTATTGTCGCTGATCTGAGAGAGAGAAACTTGAATTGAATGAATGTAATGTGAAGAAGGAAGTTGGAGGCTTTATTTATAGCTAAACGACGGAAAATAACGCCGTTACGCAGGAAGGGGGGAAACATTAAACACTTATACGAGAAAGGCTTTTTGAAAACGTCAACACTTGTGTTTGTTATTACCCTTGAGAGTCCACAGTGGTTTTTTGAGTCAATGTCCCAAAATGGGTCCCCACTCAACACCGCAATGATGCCCCCGACAAGGATTCGTAACGGAAAACGCCGACTTTGCGTTCTTAAACTAGTTTCAATTTTTCCTAAGTCTTTTAATATTTTCCCCAAGATGTGCCCAAAAGTTGTAAGTGTAATTACACACATGAAAAAGAAAAAGAAAACAAATAACACTCTACTAGATAAAGAGAAAGGTAAAATATAAAATATAGCCAAAGGGCAGAGGAGATACAAGACAAATAAAGAATTTAAAAATTGATAGTTGTGAGATATCAAATCATTTAACTGAAATCGAATATAGGACTTCTAAGTTTTTCTAATGCAATGTCACCGACTGACCCATTTTATTAGCTTTTCTCTATAATTGTGAAATTATTCTAAAATCATTTTTGTCACCATGCAGATGAAATATTCTTGAGAGTTACAGTTTTCATACAAGAAAAGATAGATTTTCTGAAAGGAGTAATTGGAGTTCTCATATCTATCACAATCACTGATTATTAAAAATGTTAAATTTTTATAATCAAAATTAATAGGCAAAACTTATTAATGACTTTATAATATAATAAGGTGGTTAAATTTAAAGTTAATTTAATTTTATTAAATTAATTCAATAGAATAAGATTTGTTTTCAGTGTATATTATTTGGTCTAATTTATAGGTGAGGTGAATTTTTCAACATATTCTCCTGCACCGTTAACATCCAATATGAAAATTGAGAAAAATTCGATAGACTCAAATTTTAGCTATGATAAGTTTTTAATTTTGATTATAATAGATTTTTATTAACTCTAATACTATATTATGCTTTGGTTTTTAATTCTTATGATAAGTTCGATATATATACTTAGAAGTTAGTTTTTACTTAATTTGAAAAACTTTTAAATTTTATTTATAAATCAATTACTTGAATTATATTATTCAGTGTTAATTATTATATTTTTATATTGTATTGCTTTATTATTAATCTTATGCACTGTCTTAACATATATTTAATTATATTTTCAAATAAAAATACCATAATTAACCAAAACATTACTGTCTAACTATGTTGACTTGTGTATCGTAAGTTATAATAAAAGTTTTACCCTTTTTAAAATGAATAAAACGCCAATTTAATAAGTATTATTACAAGGATATTAAAGAAATAAATATAAAAAGTTAGAATCTAATGTTTTAAAAAAATACTGCTAAAAGAAATTTGTGTACCAATTAAAAAAGTTTTTCAGATAAAAAAATTAGAAATGAATTGAAAAAGCTTACCAAACAAAACCTAGATTTATTATGAATGTCGTTCTTATAGTGGATGTTGTAGGTGAACTACTCATTATTGTACTTCAATTTATTGAAAACACCACAAGAGAAAATTATAACTCCTAAGAACTTATACTTTCTTAAAGCAGAAAATTACTAAACAACCACTTAGTATTTTATTTAAACCACCATTATTAAATATTAAGTCAACCTTTGGAGTTAATTTAAACAAACTCAAACTATAAATTGATATTTAGATCATAGAAAAGCAATTTTTCCAATACTAATAAAATCACTTGTTATTAAAGTAGTCATAAATGTATATTCCTACAAACTTCATATTCAAGATAGTCAGTTTTAAGTGTAAAAGAGTACAAAAGAACTCATTATAGTATTTAATAGTTAGTAGGGATTTCTCTTTTTGCGAAATTTTCAAATCTAAAAATGTGAAATTTGAAGTAGACTTTGGAAAAATAATAAAAAGGATCAACCATTANTTTTTCCCGTTTCTAACAAACACACTTTATTTTTATTTAATATTTATCATATACTAATAAAATAACATTTTGACTTCAAAATACAAAATAATTGAAAATCACCAAACTTGAAAAAAAACAACACAAATACACACACATAATATTTTTAACTTATTTCTTATTAAATCTTTTTAAACATTGAAAATTTTATATTTTTAAATTGAGTTATGCAGTTTAATTTTTTTATGTATTAAAAAATATAATATTTTATAATTAACACAAAATGATATTGAATAATAAAAGTAGTTTATTAATTTACAGTAGTTTTATTATAATTTAAATTAATTACAAAATCAAACTTTTTTCTTGATATTTCAATTTTATTGACGTAAATTTTATTTATTATTCAAGTACAATTTCTTGTTGCGAAAAATTAAATTATCATCATATTTTTTATAATTTTACAGATTATTTTGCTACTGAAATCCTTTTTTTTTTCTAGAAACAAATTTTTAGCATCATTTTACTTTTAGTTTTATAGATTTATATATTTATTTTAATAAATTATTTTATTAAAATTTGTAATTTTTTATAAACTAATATGAATATAAATTTAGAAAAGATATTTAATTTAATATTTATAAATTAAATGAGAGTAAAAAATTTGAAGAATGATTATAATAAATAAGATAATATAAATATATTATAATTATAGAAATATAAAAATTATCATTATAAAATATTATAATTATGGTAGTTTTTTACAAATTTAATTTTGAAAAATGTTTATTTATTTGGTTAAAATAATTTATGCAACACTTTTTATGTGTAATGAGTTAAGAAAATAAAATTAAATAATAATATAATTGTAGGTGTTTAGGCTTATGGGTCCGGGTCAACTCTTTTTTCTTATCCGATTTTCTAACTCTAAAATTTCAATTCACTGTATTAGTAATAAATATGTATTAAACGTAACCAATTTATCATAATATTTCAAACTTGTATGTATAAATTTCAAATTAATGTCAATCTAAGTATAGTTTTACTGGTGATTATTATACTTAGGCTTAATATAATCCTCTTTAGCCTTAAAGCTCACGTAATATTGACCGACGATGAATTCATCTTACTCACCGACCAGTTGTTCCATATCGATGAAACCGTCTAGTCTTAAACTGATCAAATGGTTATAAGATACAATAAATGTTAATATTTGAAAAAAAATTTAATGTAAATTCAAAAGTAATTTATAACAAAAGAAAATCACAAACCTTCCTTATATAAAGATAAATTAAGAAAATTACAAAAATAAAGTTTTAAATGTATAATTTTTTTAAATGTCTAATAACAAAAAAAAAATTAAACTTTCAAATTTTTGAAAATTTAAACTTAATTAAACGTGGTTTAATTTCTTTTTAAAATTATTTTTAAAAAATAAAATAGCGATGAAATCATTAAAAATAAAAACAAAGACTTATGTGTGGTGTGAGTGTAATAATGTGAATTTATATATGTTCAAATTAAAAAAAAAAAATGAGCAAGCGATAATAATGATTAAAAAGAAATCAGGAATAAGAAAAAATTGTATATATATATACCTTTTGAAAATCAGTGAAAAGGTTTAAAACAAAAAGAGTTGATGAAGGAATTAAGTTAAAATAGGTGGTTTGCACAAGAGTGTTGGTCCAGTTGTGAAAGGCAGACAGGTTGAAATTGACGATCGACAACCCCACATACAGCATCAGTTGTGGCTTTAGCTCTGAAGCAACAGCAGCAGCTAGGGTGTAGCTAGGTGGTAGCCCTTCCCCCCTCAAGACCTGCATGCATTAAATGCTGCATTTTGCTTTCCTCCATCACTCAAACACCACTCATGTGCTGCACCTGGAAATGGAACCTGTGACCAACCTCACTCACTCCTACACTTCTTCTAACCAAGTTTTGACTTCTCACTCACACCACCACCAAACCCCACACATATTACCACCAACTCTCATCCTTCGTACAACACATATATACACTATTATTGCAAACCGCCAACAAAATACAAACTCACCGTACACTGTCATCAAAAACTTTTCAAACTCCTTCCTCCTTTTATTCATTATAAACAAACAAAGTCCAACCCAAGTTTCTACACAAAATGATTCCCTTCGTAAACTCACAATATAAAATTCTACTAAATAGTAAAACAAATCACAAACCATCACCCTTGTCTTCGCATTTTCAACGCTTTCCCATTCATTCCATAACCACTACTGTTTCCGACCGACCTGCACCTCAGCGTTCGCCGTTTCGACCACGCTACCTTCTTCCCATGCTATTTCCAGAACGACTCTCGAAAAATTAAAATATATGATGCACGCCGTTTCATACCCCGCCTCGCACGTCGTCGTTTTTTATTCTTTTAATTCTAACGCGGTTAGTAACACCAGGTGTAGATTGTTGACGCACGAGGGAACTTGAAAATTGAAATTGAGGATCAAAAATCGAATCAATGTCTACTTCATGGTGGTAATAATAGTAATTAATACATTCAAATATACTAACACTATGTACTCGGGTGAAGGGAGAATTGCAGTGGTAAATTAGAGGGGTCGCGGTGTAGTGCTATTTAGATTTTTGAAATTAAAATATTAGAAACGCTGAGAAACGGAAACGTGACGTCTTCTGATGTGAGGGGAAACAATGGAGATCAGGCCACCGAGTGGGGGCCGCATCTTCGACCTGTAAACCATTTCGTCGTACGGTCTTCTGTAGAACTTCACATAGGGCAAGAACGATTCTCGGCACCTCTCTCCCTTCACGGTCGCGTGGCTCTCTCGACGGAAAAACGTTGCCGGCGACTGCAGGAACGAGGTCCTCGGCGGGGCCGTCACTCGCTGCGGCAGCGGGGTGGAGGGGAAGAGGCCCTTCCTGGAAGCCGGGGGGCCGCGGGGCGTCCTCGCGACGGGCGAGGCGAACGAGAGCGAGCGCGCGTTTAGCGGCGAGATCAGCGCGGGAGAGGGACTCGTGGGTCCCACTTTCGATGCTGACGTGTCGGCCAGGCTCAGGTACCAGGGCTTCAAGGAGTCCAGGTGGTGAGAGACGGTGAATGAGAAGCGGGAAGAGGAGCACGAGCCTATCTTCGCCGTTGATTTCACGCTCGAGGCATCGAATCGGAGGGACGAGGCTCGCGGGTACGCCGCGAAG